GCAATAACTCATTCTAAATATTTTTCGATTTTTCTGATTTTCAATAGGGTTTATCCTTGGGTGACAACAGACACTCATGCCAAGTTTCGTCAAAATCCGTCAAGAATTGTCCTTTCTAGAGTGTTTACATGCTAAAAATTGAATGCATTTACAAAAACAAGGGCAATAACTCATTCTAAATATTTTTTGATTCTTCTGATTTTCAATAGGGTTCATCCTTGGGTGATTACGAACACTCATGCCAAGTTTCGTTAAAATCCATCAAGAATTGGCCCTTCCAAAGTGTTTACGAGCTAAATTGAACGCGTTTTCAAGAACAAGGGCCATAACTTATACTAAATATTTTTCGATCCTTCTGATTTTCAATAGGGTTCATCCTTGGGTGATTACGAACACTCATACCAAGTTTTGTCAAAATTATTCAAGAATTGTGTCTTGTAGAGTGTTTACGCGCAATTGTGGACGGACGGACCGACGGACCGACCGACGGACGAACGGACCGAAGGACATGGGTGACGGCAATATACGCCCCCCCCCCTCCCCATTTCATGTGGGCGTATACAAATTGGTTCGTAGCTAAGAGAAATATTGGGTCGTAGATAAGAGAAAGCTCTGGTCGTCGCTAAGAGAAAAAGCTGGCTTGTAACTAAGAGAAAATTTGGGTCATAGATTGTTATGTCTATATATTATTACCATGAAATATCTTACTTTAGTATATCACCTGGTCAATATCATATCCTTACAATATTATGTAACTTTGTAGTGCCCTGATTTGTCTGACAGATTTCTTTTACCCTGTAAGTCTGTTAATAAACTTCTTATTGAATGGATTGTTCCTTCACACAACATAGATAAAAGAAAGATATTGGTAGTGTTTGACTGTAGTATGTAGTAGAGATCAGTAATGATACAGATATTGATAGTGTTTGACTGTAGTATAGTTTACTAATGATACATATATTGATAGTGTCTGACTGTAGTATGTAGTCAAGGTTAGTAATGATACAGATATTGACAGCGTTTGACTAGTTTGTAGTAGAGGGAAGTAGCGGTACAGATATTGATAGTGTCTGACTGTAGTATGTAGTCGAGGTCAGTAATGATACATATATTGATAGTGTTTGACTATAGTATAGTTTAGTAATGGAACAGATATTGATAGTGTTTGACTGTAGTAAGTAGTAGAGGTCAGTAATGGTACAGATATTGATAGTCTTTGACTATAGTTTGTAGTAGAGGGAAGTAGCGGTACCGATATTGATAGGGTTTGACTGTAGTACGTAGTCGAGGTCAGTAATGATACATATATTGATAGTGTATGACTGTAGTATAGTTTACTAATGATACAGATATTGATAGTGTCTGACTGTAGTATGTAGTCAAGGTTAGTAATGATACAGATATTGACAGTGTTTGACTGTAGTTTGTAGTAGAGGTCAGTAATGATACATATATTGATAGTGTTTGACTATAGTATAGTTTATTAATGGAGCAGATATTGATAGTGTCTGACTGTAGTATGTAGTCGAGGTCAGTAATGATACATATATTGATAGTGTTTGACTATAGTATAGTTTATTAATGGAACAGATATTGATAGTGTTTGACTGTAGTAAGTAGTAGAGGTCAGTAATGGTACAGATATTGATAATTTTTAACTTTTGTAGTAGAGGGAAGTAGCGGTACCGATATTGATAGTGTTTGACTGTAGTATAGTTTAGTAATGGAACAGATATTCATGGTGTTTGACTGTAGTAAGTAGTAGAGGTCAGTAATGATACAGATATTGATAGTGTCTGACTGTAGTATGTAGTAGAGGTCGGAAATGATGCAGATATTGATAGTGATTGATTGAAGTATGTAGTTTAGGTCAGTATTAAAACAGATATTAATAGTGTTTGACTGTAGTATGTAGTAGAGGTCAGTAATGATACATATATTGATACTGTTTGACTGTAGTATGTAGTCA